CAGGCACTGGAGCAGATAGGACCCAACCTCGCAAAGCAACCCCGAAGGAAGACGCTGCTGAAGGGAATATCCAGGCAAAATTGGCAAGAAGAGAGTGTCAGCACCAGGTGTCTGGCCTTGAGCCGCGCTCAACCTCCTAGTCACATGAGCCCAAGACACAGAAACTGTCACATATGCTTAGCAAATCATCGTAACTGCAGCATCTAGCCTTGATTGGGATTGGGCTGGGGCAAATCAGAGTTGAAAAGATGATAGGCCAATAATACTGAGCTTTATGGGATTGGACCTTCCTGTAAAGCTGAGAACCTCTATAAAATATGTGTGTATTTGGCAATGAAGTGAACAGTCACTGGCTGCTCCTGGAGGGTGTTTTCGCCACATGCCCGTCATCCTTCACCCCACATCTTCCCAAACCTGGTGGGCAACGTGTCCAAGCACCTTGGGGGGAAAACTGCTCCCCAACGTCTATGTGTTAGCAATGCATTAGTGAGTGTGACTACCTTGATTTGACCTTGAAAGAATAAAGATATATAAAAAGTAATTGGCCAAGTTGTGATGGAACCGGGGGTGAGTCTGTCAGACGTCAGAATTTTGCACTTCAGCGCTGGAGCTATAGCACAGTGGGTAGGGCATTTGTCTTGCACGCGGACAACCCGGGTTTGATTCCCAGCATCCCATATGGTCCCCTGAGCACGGCCAGGAGTAATTCCTGAGTGCATGAGCCAGGAGTAACCCCTGTGCAATGCCAGGTGTGACCCAAAAAGCAAAAATAAATAAATAAATAAATAAAAGGATTTTGCACTTCAGGGGACTCTGGCTCAGTGGGGTGATGGGTCTCCAACTGAACATGATAGCACTTGCTAAGTTAGCAGTGTCTAACAGCCAGGCCACAGCCTGCTTGCTCGCAGGTGTTACACTTCCACATCCCTTTTCCTTCTGCTATTTTAAAATTCTCGTTCATGAGCCAGAGACTCACAAATAAATCTCAGAAGAGATCAACAAGCTGCAGAGATGCCTCCAGACCCCAAAGTCACCATCCAGCCAAACATTTAACTCCGGCTGTATCACTCTATTTAAAATTTTATATTTTATACTCTACATCGCTGATCTATCAGAGGCAGCCCACCACATTGGATGGGGTGTAAAGTAGAAGGCAACCAATCTCGATCAAAAATGGCATACAATACAAATATTTATATATATGGTGATATATATGTGTATATATACAAGCACACAAGGCTCAACCTGTAACAACATGTTAGTAATCTCTTATACAAGGGCTTAGTGAGTGAAGAGCCAGGTGTGACCTAAAAAAAAGCCACTTCCAAAAATAAATAAAATTTCAGTATTGATATCAGGATATTTATTATATTTTAGACATATAAGGAAATTATATGTAATCATATTATAGATGTGTATACACACATATATTTTTTAATTTTTTTTAAATTTTTACTAGTGAAACACCATGAGCTACAGTTGTAGACAGTCCCAAAGTCTCTAAAGTCTCAGTTCTCCTCCTCTAGTCTAATTTTCTAGTTCCCTCTTAGCCCTTACAGCATAGTTATGTAGAAATCATGAAGGGTGGGGATACATAAAGGTGGGGTTGAACATTATCATAACAACTGTCACTGTCACTGTCCTCCCGTTGTTCATCGATTTGCTTGAGCGGCCCCAGTAACATCTCCATTGGAGACTTTGTTGTTACTGTGTTTGGCATATCGAATACATCACGGGTGGCTTGCCAGGCTCTGCCGTGTGGGAGAGATACTCTTGGTAGCTTGCCGAGCTCTCCGAGAGGGGCAGAGGAATCGAACTCGGGTCGACCATATTGGCTGAGTGCAAGGCAAACGCCCTACCGCTGTGCTATCGCTCCGGCCCATCATAACAACAAACAGATGTAAAGCCTCTCCTTCAGGATATTAACTCAAGGACAAAATCTCATCTGAGGGTTCAGCACTCTAGATTACTAGGAGATCGGCTCAAAGGCAGGATTCCATCTAGGGTGTCTTGTTTTCTCCTTTCCTCAGCTAGTAATCCATTTAAACAATCCCAGTAAATTTACTTCTTATAATATTTATGCCAAACACAGTAACAACAAGTCTCACAATGGAGATGTTACTGGGCCTGCTCGTGCAAATAGATGAAAAACGGAAGGACAGTGCTAATATTTATAGTCATTTTGTATGAACACAGTAAGAGATATATTAAGCTTAAAGGTTGGCTCTTCCTAAGGACATCTTGCTATATATTCCAGACCACAGTCCTCAGGCCAAGTTAGTCTTTCCTAACCCCAGCAGGGTCCTTATTCAGTTACTTCCTTTTGGGTCATGACAGAATTTGTCCATGACCATGTTCTTAACTTACTATACTTCTGGTACTTAGCTTGTCTCCTTTTGATGCCAGGGTAGTTTACAGCTTTCCCTGGGTCCATCCAGTCCCTTCTTCAGGACTGTTTTTGGGAATGCTAGGAACTAAGGGCAACTGAGGCTTAAGTCAAGTAAATATGGATGCCCAGGAGTAAATATTGTTTTGGAGTCAATTAATTCCCATTTTACAAAGCATAGCATGAACTGTCTTCCTGTGTCTATACAAAAAGGACATTGCTAAATAAACCATACTAATGACATAAAGGAAAGAGAAAAAGCAATATAAGATTACTAATGCTTGATTAAACTGAGTGTGCCTCGGGGCACTGACGTGGGAGTAGCTCTATAAACCTATGCTCCCTGCGGGAGGAGCAAGGACAACCCAATGTTATCAACAGACAAGCACTTCCATGAGTTGACGAAATATTTCCCTATTTTCCCTAGTGCACATGGGTAAAGGTTAAAGAATGCAGCTACCACTGACGACCGCAGAAACCTGCTTCACCAACCTAACTTGCAGTGAGGGTAGTTGAACAATCCACCTGTGGCCAAAGGTGTGTAAGAGAAATCTTGGGGGAGCAGGAATTATAGGAGATATATTTTATCTCCCTGATAATGAACCACTCATAAAACAAAGACCTTTGCTCCCTGTCCATCCGTGCCCTGCACCATTTGTTTTTGACTTTTAGATGTAGTCACAATATCTACAGCTGTTGGGGTCTCTGAGCTGCCACTGGGAACAATGTAGCATAGCCCAAAAAAGCCACAGGCACAAGAAAGCAGAGCAAGGGATGGCAGGAAGTTGAGGGCTGTTGAGGAAATTGAGGACAGGAAGTTTGATGGCAAAAAGTAAAGGCATGGCGGCTGGAGTGATAGCACAGTGTGTTTGCCTTGCACACGGCCCAATCTGGGTTCGATTCCCAGCATCCCATATGGTCTCCTGAGCACGGCCAGGAGTAATTCCTGAGCGCATGAATTAGGAGTAACCCCTGTGCATCGCTGGGTGTGACCCAAAAAGCAAAAAAACAAAAACAAAAACAAACAAAAAAAAAACCCAAAAAGTGAAGGCACTGGTGAGGGCTGGAGAGACAATACAGCAGCTAGAACACTTGCCCTGCAGGTGGTCAATCCAGCTCAACTCCCAACACCACATATGGTCCCCTGAGCACAGCCAGGAAGGAACTCCAAAAAGTGTCAGGTATGGTCCCCCAACAAACAAACAAATAAGACACATTTGAGCTTCTGTACGAAATTTGGGATTGTCCAATCCCGAATTTCTTGTTGTGTGAGATAATTAAACACTTTATTACTTGAGCTACTCTCCGCTGGCATCATGATATTTGTAGCCGAAGGTATTCCTACACATGTGTACCTAACACACAGGAGCGATAGCACAGCGGGTAGGGTGTTTGCCTTGCACGGGGCCAACCCGGGTTCAATTCCTCCATCCCTCTTCAGAGAGCCCGATAAACTACCAAGAGTATTCCACCCACACGGCACAGCCTGGCAAGCTAACTGTGGCGTATTCGATATGCCAAAAACAGTAACAAGTCTCACAATGGAGACGTTACTGGTTTCCACTCAAGCAAATCGATGAACAATGGGAGGACAGTGCTACAGTGCTGTATGCCTAAAGGAATCAGTATCAGAGGTATCATTATCAAAGAAGCAATTCTAAAGCTCAGTCAGAGGATGAGAGGAACCCAATAGACTTGGTTTTCAATTAAATCCTTCTGGCTTGGAAATATAAATAAATAAGTTAACATTTTCACCTGGGCAATGATAAGCCAGGTACTTACCATTACCATATACATGACCTCGTCTACCGCTTTTATGGGGTTACTCATGTTCTATTGCTTTCATTGCTTGTGTTTTTGACCTCATAGCCAATGTGCTTTTGACCTCATAAGCCAAAATCAGTCACTGCCAAGACGAGTGTCAGGGAGATTTTTGCTGTTTCTTTCAGAAGCTTATGGTTTCAGATTTTACATTTAATGGGCTAATTGCGTTTTGAGATAAGCTGTATAAGAAAGAGAGCTAGTGTCACTCCCTTGCAAATGAAATGACTTTTCTTTTCCCCATTGAATATTCTTGGCTGCCTTGTCAAAAATTAATTGGAATTGTGTGATTGGGTTTATTTCTAGGCTCCCTTTTCAGTCCCATTGGTCTGTGTGTCTGGTAGGATTTTTTTAATATTTCATAGTTATTCTCATTTTGTGATGGGATGTAGAACTTACTGGTGTCTCTTGACTGTGGAGGGGACTCTCATGAGAATAGGACACATTATATGCCCAGAGGGCGTGATAGGATGTATATTGCCTTGCAGTCTTATTGGAAGAACCACTTTACAACCATCCTGTCTTCAAATTCATCGATATTCAACTTGGTAAAGCCTCACTTCTGGGACATGTGGCTTTCTTGGCACCAGGCCCTTTGGACTTGGCCCTGAGTAATTAATTACATAGTCCTTTTTTTTTTTTTTGCACTGTGGTGCAATTAGACATTATGACTTAGCCAGTTTCAAGCACTGACCATTGTGCTATGGGACTTTCCAAGGAAATCTGACATCTCTGTCTAAGGACTTAGATCAAGGGAAGAGCATAAAGTCAGAGATAAAGTTTCACCAGAGAGGGCTTTCTCCAAAGTCACGTAGGGGAACCCATACAACAATAGGCTATATATGCCACTAAGAAGGATTCTGTTCGCAACTGTCACACACTGGGTCCCAGGGAGGGAAGAACCCAGTTGACTGAATTGCCTGCAAGTATGTGTGGTGTCTTTATTTTTTTCCAATTTTTATATATTTTATTTTTGTAAAGTAGTTCACAATAGATCCCTGCAGATAATAATAAAACACCAATCCCACCACTGAGCACCTTCACACCACAACAAGAGGGAAGTGTGTGAAGGTTGTTGTATTCCATTCTGGAGCTATTTAAGCCTGTATAAAAGGGAATACAATCAAATATGTTAGCACTGTAGCACTGTCCTCCAGTTGTTCATCGATTTGCTCGAGTTGGCCCAGTAATGTCTCCATTGTGAGTCTTGTTGTTACTGTGTTTGGCATATCGAATACCTCACAGGTAGCTTGCCAGGCTTTGCTGTGCGGGCAAAATACTCTTGGTAGCTTGCCGGACTTTCCAAGAGGGGCAGAGGAATCAAACCCGGCTCAGCCAGGCCGGCGGCTTGCAAGGCAAATGCCCTACTGCTGTGCTATCGCTCCAGCCCATCAAATATGTTAAAACCACACAAATGTGTGTTACTTTTAGTACGTGAGTATGCTAGAGTATAAGAGGCTGTGAGCTCCAGGATATTCTGTGTTGCTCTCTTCCGGGAGCCTTGGTTTATAGTCTCTGGATATTGGCCATTGATGAGATTACATGGCACCAGTGGCAGTTTGTGGGTGTGACTGCCAAGCTACTGAAAAACTGGGGAGCTGGGGGTGGGGGGTGGGAAAGGCCCAGTCCTGATCTGAGCAGGCTTGAAGAGCTCAGTCATGGGTCCCCCATACCTGGGTTTTTCTGCTGGTTCCTACTTGGCTGAGGCTCATCCAAGCATGTGGAGAGTGGCCTTGAGCATGGCGGCGGTTGGGTTCTGGAGATTTTTAGTTGCCAGGGTTCTGTTTGGGACAGGGAGGGAAACTCAACCCACTCCCCTCCGAGGTGCCCCAATGAAGATAGCCTGGCACAGGGTCAGTACCACACAATGTCACTGTCACTGTCCTCCCATTGTTTATCCATTTGCCTGAGCAGGCCCAGTAACGTCTCCGTTGTGACAATTGTTACTGTGCTTGACATATCGAATACATCACGGGTAGCTTGCCAGGCTTTGCTGTGCAGGCGAGATACTCTTGATAGCTTGCCGGGCGCTCCGAGAGGGGCGGAGGAATTGAACTCGGGTTGGCCATGTTGGCCATTTGCAAGGCAAACACCCTACCCACTGTGCTATCGCTCCAGCCCCAGTACCACACAGTACTGCTTAATTAATGTAGCTTTGTAGTAGTGTGTGAAATCAGAATATATGATGCCTCCACTTTTGCTTTTTCCTAAAGATTGTTTTGATTTTTCATTGTCTTTTGTGGTTCCACACACATTTCAGGACTGTTTCTTCTATGTGTATGAAAAGATGTCATTGCAATTTTGATAGGGATTATACTGAATCTGTCTACAGGGTGGAGATGAAGCTCAGTGGTAGAGCATATACCTGTGTGTGTGAGGCCCTGGGTTCAAGCACCAGCACTGAAAATAATAATAATAATAATAATAATAATAATAATAATAAATCAGGGATCTGGTTCAGGGATAGAGAGCTGGCCTTCACATGTGAAACTCTGGATTTGATTTAAAAAAAAAGATTTAAATAAACGGTTTTGGTAGTATGAACATTTTAAAAATTTTAATCCTTCCAATTCAAGGCTGTGTGTAGGAAATATATTTTAGGCTTCTCCCCACCACAGTTGGCCTTTGGCTCAGTGTACCAACATAACCTGATCACGAGGAAGGAATAAGACTTTGGGCACTGCCTGTGTGACTGCTCACTTTCTTTGTAGCTCAAGGAGGTTATGTGACCTTGGGCACTGTGCTGGCTTTGTTCTGCTTTCTGAAAGAGACCCTCCTCCCTCAGACTGTGTAGAGGAACTCCCAGGCTGACTGTTGAGAGCAGATCTAATGAGAGAGGGTATAACGTGAGCCCTGTGAAATAAAGCATGTCAGAGACTCCTGCAGTCCCTTGCTTCCGCTTCAGGTTGCCCAACTCCCAGACCAGACAAATGATTGGGAAAAGATTGGCATATTTGACAGAATTTGGTGCTGTCCCAAAGACACTACCTCCACTACCCAGCCGTCGCCACACTCCAGAACGCTTTCCGGACCCACGCAGCTGCAAAGCGGCCGCGCGACACATCATAAGACACTAAATACCCATTTTCTGGAATTGTCGTACCATATTTGATAGGGCTCAAATATGGTAACACCTACAAGGGTGATTAGAGGTCGCCCCAAAAGCCTCTATCTCTCTCGGAAAGACTGGCAAGCTACCGAGAGTATTCCGCCCGCACGGAAGAGCCTGGCAAGCTATCCGTTGTGTATTCGATATGCCAAAACCAGTAACTACAACTGGTCTCATTCACCTGACCCTGAAGGCTTTACCAACATGGCAGCACTGAGAAGGATGAGAAAGGAGAGGCCGACAAAATCTCAAGGCCGAACTAGGCTGCCACAACGAAGGAAGACAAAAATGATCGTCTGTACTTTCAATGCACATACGCTAGCATCAGATACATCCATCGAGGACCTGATGGTACAAGCGCGAATGATCAAGTACGACATCATTGGTCTGACCGAGACAAGAAGGCACGAATCTCACCATGCCGTTTTCGACACTGGAGAAGAATTGTTTCTCGGAACATGCAATAAAAGAGGTGTCGGAGTAGTCGGTGTCCTTGTCAACACAAACTTGGCCAAGAGCATTGATTCATTCGAATGCCTAACAAACCGAATCGGACGTTTACATTTGAATAGATGTGGCTCACTGCCTGCAGTTTCTATCTTCGTTGTCTACGCACCAACATCTCATTATGATGAAAGAGAAATCAAGAAGTTCTACATGGAGCTGGAGAAGTTCTATAAAGAAGACCACACCTTCTACAAGATCATCGTGGGTGATTTTAATGCCAACATAGGACCAAGAAGATCAGCTGAAGAACTTCACATCGAGACCCATGGCCTAGAATGGAACGAACAGGGTGAGAGACTGTCTGAGTTCATCATGTCGACCAAGACCATCCATGGTAACTCACAGTTCCAGAAGACAGAATCTAAACGTTGGACATGGGAGTCTCCCGGTGGACGATTCCACAACAAAATAGACCACATCATATTCAATCGAAGGTTTTGCCTGACCGATGTCACTGTTGTCCCAAAATTTTGAACGGGATCAGACCACCATCTCCTTCGTGCAAAATTCTACTTCACAGAGCGGGGAGAAAGGGCTGCAAAGTTCAAAAAGAGAACTCCCAGAACGACCACCAACTGGGAACTCTTTGGCACTATTCCAGCAACATGGGAAGATGCCATTGTTGACAACATTGACGAGGAATACGATCGACTGGTTCAGCACCTCCATGAATGTGCGAGGAATGCCAAGAGAGAGATAGCCACAACAAAACGCCTGTCTTCAAAAACTCTTGAGCTAATTCGCCAGTGTGGTTTGGCGCATGCCTCAGGCAACCGCAAGCTAACGACCGAGCTCGCAAAGCAGTGCAGAGATGTGATCAAGGAAGACCTTAAAGAGAGAAGAGCAGAAGAACTGGTAGATGCGGCAGAAGCTGGGAAAAGTATTCGTAACGCCCGCCTGTCCTTCGCCAACTACAAGACCAAGATGACTGCCCTCCGACGTCCTGATGGATCCATCACATCCTCCAGAACGGCAATGGAGAAGATTATCCATGACTTCTACTCAAATCTCTTTGATAGCCATGTCCACTTGCCAACATACCAAATTCCACAGGATGGATATGTCGTTCCCAACGTTCTCCCTTCCGAAATCCGACACGCCATTTCGGTGGTAAAGAAACAAACAGCACCCGGCCCAGACAAGGTCATACCTGAACACCTGAAGAACCTGCCGTCAGTACTCCTCAATACACTGGCTCAGCTCTTCACTCGCTACCTGTCTGAATGCAAGGTTCCGTCCCAATGGAAAACCAGCAGAACCGTACTACTGTTCAAGAAGGGAGACATCCATGACATTGGCAACTATCGCCCAATCTGCCTATTGTCTGTCATCTACAAGTTGTTCACTCGAGTCATCCTAAATAGGATTGGAAGAACACTAGATGAAGGACAACCATGCGAGCAAGCTGGGTTCCGCAAAGGATTCAGCACCATCGACCATATCCACACGATAACCAAGCTCATTGAGGTTTCCCGGGAGTTCAAGATGCCGCTCTGTTTAACGTTCATTGATTTAAAGAAGGCCTTTGATTCTGTTGAGACGGAAGCGGTCATTGAAGCCCTAGCCAATCAGGGCATTCAAGCCCAATACATCAGGATCCTCCGTGAGCTGTATTGCGGATTCACTACCAGGATCTCACCATTCTACAAAGAAGTGATCGTTGATGTCAAGAGAGGGGTGCGGCAGGGTGATACCATTTCACCGAAACTCTTCAGTGCCACCCTCGAGAACATCGTGTGACGACTGGAATGGGAAGGAATGGGAGTGAAGATAGATGGTCGGCAACTACACCACTCCGCTTTGCTGATGACATTTTTTAATAACACCAAACATCAGCCAAGCGGCACAAATGCTGGCCGACTTTGACCGTGAGTGTGGAAAGGTAGGACTACAGCTGAACCTTACGAAGACAATGTTTATGAGAAACAGCCTCGTTCCTGATGCCCCATTCGCTCTCAACGGAACGACCATCTCCGAATGCAACAGCTATGTGTACCTAGGTCGAAAAGTCAACATGACAAATGGCCTGGCACCCGAGCTGCGCAAGAGGAAGAGAGCGGCTTGGAACGCCTTCAAGAACGTCGAGGAAATAGCTAAGAGGACGAAGAACCTCCGGCTCCAGGCACATCTCTTTGATTCCACTGTTCTTCCTGCATTAACGTATGCCTCAGAGACCTGGGCCCTACGCAAACAGGATGAGAACGCTATTCAGGTCTCCCAAAGAAGAATAGAAAGAGCTATGCTTGGAATATCACGTTTCACTCAAATGAGGGAAAAAATCCGGAGTTCTGACATCCGTCGACGATCAAG